GATACATGCTGTGCTTTGAAAACATAATGGTAAGTGAAAAGGTGATCCCTAATCTTTACATTCTTTATACAAAGAAATCGTGCATATTAAAATATCTCTTTGCCCACTCATTTCTCCTTAGTAATTTTAAAACATCTGATACACTCAGATAGAGTTTATACTTAATCCTGCCTCTGTTAATTGTTTTATAATATTCAGAACCAGACTCAGGGCTAGTCTTCCTTTTGTACTTTCTTAGGATGTAAAATGCACGCCCACATAGTTTTGACAACAATTGTTTAATTGTCAGGAAGGTATATATAGCTAATTTAAATCTCTAAATGTAACAAATCTCTAAGTTAATTTTAATTTCAGGAACAGAAAATAAATTTTAGATTCAGACCATTTTGAAATATGAGTAACTTTTATAATAATACATAAATGTATGGGGAAAATGGTAGGAAAGCAAATATTATAATGAAAGTTTTTTTAACCTTATAATGGAGGTTAAAATAAATGATAGCATTATTGACATTAAACTCACTGCCGTCAAGTTGGATCCGACTCATAGCAACCCCTCCTTGGGTTTCCAAAGTGGTATCGTTACAGAAGTAGATCACCCAATCTTCCTTCCAAGGAGCAGCTGGTGGGTACTGATTAAAATATATAGAATAACCTGTCTAGTTCTACCAACATCTGTAAGTCAAGTTATTTCCTGAGAAAAAGAAATAAAATGCTACAGATTGTATCTCTGATTCTACAGCGCTTAAAAAAAAAAGTCATAATTGGTTATTTCTATGACAGCAACAGAGAGCAAGCAACAAGGTTGATTGTGTTACGTGTCTGTCATCATCCAGCAGGCTAGCCTGGGCTTGTTCTCTTGAAGTTTCCAAGACAATGAGCAGAAATATGCACTGCCTTTGAAACTAGCACCCCTTCACTTCCTTCATATCCTATTAGCCAAACCCTAATTCAAGGAGTAGGGAAATAGACTCTGTTTTTTTGTTTTTTTTTTTTAAGTTTGGACAAATTTACTGCAACATATAGGGTGCTGGCAGAGATATCATTCAGAAGTGTGTGACATCTTGCCACTACCTTGACTGTATAACTTTAAAATTAGAAATATGCATATTTCATAACCCTTTGGCCAAAACAAATAAAAGGAGTGTTATTTAGCGTGTTCGTTAAAGACCGGTAAGAACTGGATGCTGAACAACAAAAAGATCAAATCACTGAATTAAACAGCAACAATTCACACTAATCTAGAATCCCACTGAGTTGAAGGTAGAGGCACCTGGGCAGGGTAGGGGTCAGCTGGTCAGATGAGCTTGTCGAGGGACAGTAACAATAGAGGGCAGCCCAGCAGGCTGTGAGACAGGTAGATGAGCCTGGTCATCCTTTCTTTGGTCTTCCACCACATATACTTTGATTTTAGGAGGCTTCTGAGGCCCACCCTGCCAGCCATCTGTGAGTATTGTTGGTAGGGGTATCCCTGAGGAGGTGGGTAGGGTTCTCCTATAGGTCTTGGAGGACAGACCTCAGGTCCCATTGGTGGTTGTGGAGAAGGTGGGTGTAGGGCTGATGGACTGGGGCCCAAATACAGTGGAAGATTCCTTTGGTTCATCAGGCACTGCAAACCATCCTTCACCTCTCCACAAACTGGCTGGATGTTGGTTTGGTCAGGATGGGTGGTACAGAGCCACACCAGACTGAAACCTTAACTCTTGATGGGAGAAGGTGTTACCTGGCCAGGTGTACGGCTACAAAGAGTGAGAAATTGTGTCCATTTTTGCAATCTGCTGTGCCCAGCCAGGTTCCTTTCCTAGGTTTATGTCAATTAATTAATACAAATTAATGTATGTTAATTAATTGATATATTAATGATTTCACAGTTTAAACCTTTCCAGGAATATCTGCTTCAGGGGAAAAGCATGTGATAAGACAAAGCTATATTTGAAGGGACAACAGCAAGATGCTGACCGTCAGCCCTATCCAGGGAGCTAGTCTGTAGCAAGGGAGCTTTCCTTTATGTTGTTCAGAGCCAGCTACAGTCAGTGACTAGCTCCACCACCCATGTTTAAGCACCCAGCCTGGTGCCATCTAAACTGCTCAGTGAATGATTTAAGGAATTTTGAAGTAAGTTTTTTCTGTTCAGCAAGGTACTTACATAATTATATAAGATTTTCATAATTATCAATTATGCCAAACTTGTGGCTCTTTATTTTTTTTATTACTGCCAGTGCATTAGATTGTAAGTAGCAAGCATGGAAATAGCTCATAGTATTGTGCTACATTTGTTCCCCATGAGGAATAGTGATCAAAATTATGGCCAAGTGCCTTTATTAGGAAAAGAAAATTCTTAGCTGATTAAAGGACATGGGTATTATATATCAACTATAAAATGAATTTTCAACTTTTCTGCATTTTTAAAAATACTGTATTTTATTTCTCAACATATAATGAAGCTCAAAAACTTCAAAGACGTTTTGCATTCTGCAAAGGATTCCTTGTGGTTGTAACGCACATTTGAAATTCAAATAACTCCATGGAATTTCAAGCTAGCTAGAAATTACGTACTGTGGCAGAAGAAGAGAGACAGTCCCTTAGATCATTGCCAATATATGCTAATAAAAGATATTACACCTTTGTACGTAGGTGGGAGCAGCAAATGCATCCTTTGAAGCCATCAAATAATGCATGAGTAAACATCTTGGGCAGTGTGTGAGGCTAATTTTTCAACCTCTGTGGTTCTTAATTTAAGCCATTAAGGACTTTTTCAAGTAAGTATTTATTAAGTCCCTAATTTTGTGTAGTAGATGATGTGGAAGATCCAATGTAAGTGTAAGATGTGGTTCTTCTCCCTAAGAGAATTTACGTTTTATCTGTAGAACCTAATGACTTACAAAGGAGCCATGGTGGCACAGTGGTTAAGCACATGGTTGCTAACAGAAAGGTCGGTGGTTCAAACTCACTAGCTTCTCCACAGGAGAAAGATGATGCAGACATCCATAAAGATTAAAAAAAAAAATTCCCATCTAGTCGATTCTGACTCATAGTGACTCAATGGGAGAGAGTAAAACTGCCCTATAGGGTTTTCAAGGCTGTAAATCTTTACAGACTGGCACCTCTTTTTCCTGCTGAGCCTCTGGATGGGTTCAAACCACCAACTTTTCAGTTAGCAACCCAGCACTTAACTGTTAAGGCTTTGGAAACCCTGTGGAGCAGCTCCTATAGTGTCGCTATAAGTCAGGATTGACACAATGGCAATGGGTTTGGTTTTGAAACAACTCACATGACACTTCTCAAGGAGAGATTTTCACCCTTTAGAGTCTGAGGAAATACATATGGCTGAGGTAATCTGAGAAGGTTTCATGGAGATAAATTTCAGCAGATTGGAATGAGCTGAGGGAAGGAGTCACACAGTCTAGTTGAGCAGTATATTGGAAACAAAAGTATGACATGTGACCAAAGAACGGCATGTACCAGGTACCTGGGTAGTGGGTGCACGTCATATGTGCAGTGAATGATTGGGTGGCAAGGATGAGGACAGGTTATGGTGAGCTGGTATAGACTCTAGTGAGGCAAGGGGAGTGGTGGGAAAAATTAGTCTGCCTCCAGTGGAAAACATAGAGCTGTACAGGTTAAAAGGATTTCTGGAAACTTTTTATCCAACATCACCTATTTTTACTGAGGCCCAGGGTCTCAAAGTCAGGATTGATGCAATGGCAATGGGTTTGGTTTTGAAACAACTCACAGTTAGAAAGGATCAGCTCTGAATCTTAGATTTATCTGTTAACTCCAAGTCCAATGTTCTTTCCTTTTTACCACAGTCCTCCAGGACATATTAGGGAAAAGAAAAAGGGCAACCAGCTAGGAAAAAGTTACATAGTCCATCCTTTAAGTGGATTTAATCCAGTATATACTTTTCTGAGCAAGTATTTATTAAGCCCTATAGAGCTCTGGTAGCATAGTGCTGAAGGCAATTGACTGCTAACCAGAAGGTTGGCGGTTCAAACCCATCAGCCACTCCTCAGAAGGAAGATGGGGCAATCTATTTCTGTAGTGATACTGCCTCGGAGACCCAAGGAGGGGTCGTTATGAGTCGGGTCTGACTCGATGGCATGTAACAACAACAACAGAGGGGTTCCTGAGGAAAATGGACAAAAAGGATAAATAAGAAGCATCCTAGTGGGGAAGTCAAAACCTGATAACTATTTTCTTTATTTTAGTGAATGAGGCAAATATCGTGAGAATTCAGTGAAGGATTGAGCTATTTCTTAAATATATATAGTGATTTGGGTGAAGATTTACAGAGCAAATTCACTTTCCATACAGCAGTTCACATACACCTTGTATCATGACATTGACCACAGTTTACCACAATGCAACAGCTCCCCTCCCACTTCCTCCCCATAGTTACCTCTTCCCAATGTCCATCCCTCCATGCACTCCTGCCCCCAGAGCTGTTTCCCTGTGCATAAGTAGCCCTTCTTTCTCCCATGATTGTTCTCTCCAAGGAGTGTATCTACTTGAGGTAGATGTTTAACTCACATGCCTATATTTTGTTTGGCTGGAAACCACAGGTGCGGGTTCAATTCCAGACCTGAAGGGCAGCTAGGGGCCATAGTCTCAGTGGTTCCACCAGGCTCTATCGGACCAGCAAACCTGGTCCCCACCTTTTTTTTTTTCCCTCCAAATGATTTTGAGTTTTGTTCCACATTGTTCTCCCTCTCTATCCAGGATCTCCTACATAGATCCCCTTTCAAGTGGATGACAGTGGTAGCCGGGCACCATCTAGGGATTGAGCTATTTCTAAAAAAATATTACATGACTAAATATTCTCATCCAACCATATTCATTTTTCAAACCAACCCTGCAAGTAGGTGCTAAGTAAATGTTTGTTGAATGAAGGAACAAACGTATGAGTGAATGCATCAGCTTAGATCTGTCTTTTCTTTTCCCCTGCCAGTAAATCATCTTACTGGAGTACTGCTTAAAGGAAACATTATTTTATTTTACAGATTCACCTTTTTGGAGTTTTGTTGGCTATTTTAGGAAATTTGGTAATCAGCATTTCTCTAAATATTCAGGTAAGAAAAAGACTTTTTTCCTAACTCTGTAGTTTGATTCAGGCCATATTTTGACCCTCTGAACTCTCAG